GATAGCAGAGTGGACTGTGGAGCGACCCAATGGTTGTGGTGGTCAGCTTCGGCAGACCTGCCGTCGGGGCGCCGTAGTTGAATGCGTTAGCGATCCTGCGATGCCCCATTAAGACGGGAGAGGTCTTGTTGGGTTTTAGTGAGTAGTACAGGTGGTATACGTAAATGAATTTCCCAACAATAAAAAAGGTACTTACTTATCTATAAAATAATTTATAGGTATATACTTACAAATAATTATAGTTATATACATATTATACCTATAATTTCTTAAAAAACAGTTAAGTCGACTTTGCTACATTATTATTATTTACGGTGTATATAACATCAGCGTTGTGTTACGTCGGATGGGCGCCATTAACTATCTCAGCCACTATTATTTACTATACTAATTATGCCTTTTGGCGTGTAATTGCTCCGTTATTTAAAGATTCATTTCGTAGAACATTTAAGAGATGTTACTCATAGATAATTGAAGTCATAAATAATGTTGATTAATAAGTAATTGGGTATAGAAATTCTACTTTTCTATTGAAATTTGGCTGAATCAATTATTTTTCTGGTAAGTCTTAATTTTGTACACATAATTTCGATATATATATACAATATCTATGGTAATGTTGTCTAATGGTGTCGGTCTATCACAGACGTCAGGCACCATTGAATCAGAACCAAATATGAATTAGTAATCAATTTTTTTTCTAACCTATGATTTGATTGGTTTTATGATAAAAAATAGCATGATATTGACGAAGTGCGAGTCATTAGTATGCATTAGACACGCAGTAAAAAAAGTATTTTTCAGATTGGCATCTGCACTTACAGAGTATAACTTCCAATGTACAATTTTATTTCAATGTTCAAACTCATAAAATTTACCTATTTGTAGTAACGGTGTAGATGAAACCATGATAATAGACTCAAATTGTATATCACTGGCACGTCATGCAGAAATCAGCAGTAGATGTGTTTTGACTGATAACATTCGTAATGTTACGAATAGCTTTCTCGCTAATGAAAATGTGTACGCTTTAATGTATACATTACACAGTGAAATATTGTTAATTAACCCAGTAATTAATTTACAAATATAATAGCAGATGATAAACATTTTACAATAAATTTTGGGTCTAAAGTAAAATTGCGTTTGTATTCTTTAGTTGTTTCTAACCACTGAAAATACCGGTTCGATTTTCATTTTTTTTTACATTGTAGAGTCTGGACGAAGGTTCTAGTTTTTAACATCTCGCTTCAAACTTTATGAGTGGTTGTAAACCATTATTATTTTTACAACATAAAAAATTGAAGTAAAATCAATACAGGGGTTCGTTACTTACATATAAAGAAAATTATATATAATAATATGCAACTTAGGTTCTATCTGTTTGTGCGAGATATAAGATAATCATAAAGATAGGGTAACTATAGGAAGATAAATTTATAACTATAGACTCAAGTATCATTTGAACAATCAGTTCAAATTAATTAACAAGTCAAATATATACATAACAACCCATAAAGTCACTTTCCTTTAGCGTCTTGAGGGTAAATTAATTATTTATCATGGAAACAAACGTACAGACTTTTTGCTTGTATTAAATAGTGATCTAGGCATTGTTCCACACATAGAATTTCTCAATAGATTCTATAGATACTAATTCTGAATCAACGTTGTATACCAACTAAATCATGTGTCGTATATCATACTAGACACGTTGTTACGTGACTTGTTTACAACCAAACCCACGTAACAACATCATTTCTCAGGATAGTTGCAAAGATACTGTGCAAAGGATCAAGACACTTGTTGAATAATCTGAAATATTTCATAATCTATATAAATTGTATTACAAAGCTAGACTTTTTGTGAACACGACACGTTTGCCTCAGTTTGTAGTGACCTTACTTTCTGTGCCAGCGGTCGCGGGATCGAGTACCGCTGGGAGCAATCATTTGTGTGATGAGCGCGAATGTTTATCTCCAGTCATGGGTTTTTACTGTTATATTTATAAAATGTATGTATTTAAAGTTATATATGTGTCAAGTATCAACTATCTGGTATCCATAACACAAGCCTCGTAGCTTACCATGGAACTAGATGGTGGTGTGTGTTAATGTCCTAACATATACATTTATTCAAAGATCCGGTGGTAACTTCCTCCCGAATTCGATCTGAAGTAATCTATAGTGCTTATAAAAGTCTATTTGAATAGAGTTTATTTAATTCATTTGTTTTTTTTAGTATTTTTAATACAGAGTTACACGTCTTATTTTTGGATTTTGTCAAATTTCGTATATCTAAATAAAACTAGGAAATTAAGTTTCCATGCTTTTGGTCCAAAAATCAAAATAAATTCGCGAAAAAATCCGAAAAGATAGTTTTATTTAAAATATCAAGTATTCGCGTAAATCTAAGAAAGTAAAAAAAATCAATAAATATAAACGATTATTAATAATAAAAATAAAAAAACAATTAAAAAATATATTAGTAACGAGCGACTCACCCTTTCTTCGCTCAGGTTCCTAGGTACGTTTTGACGCTTAGTGTGGAATAAATTTTTTTCATGATTTTTTTAGATGTTTTAATAGTTATTTTGCTATTCGGCGTGAAGACAAATCCAACAAAACTAAGATAATAAAAATTGTTCCAGCAGTTCTCGAGTTAAAAGTGTTGTTACAAACCTGACTTTGTTTTATATACATATAAAACTTTATTTTGATTTGAGATAATTAAGTTGATTAATTATCTCAAATCAAAAAAAAGTCAATAGTCATTATCATCTCAAATCTAGATTTGAGATAATCATTAAACTTAATCTTTTGAAATATATTTGAATTGAATTTTTATTCTGCCGTTGCATTTGATGACTCACTATTTTCTTAACGCGGATGGACTGATAGTTTATTATCTATCAAAAGACTATTAAAAAGTTTACTCAAAAAAAAACTTGCATTGATTAATAATAGTGAAAACTCCTTTTCACACAATTACGTAGATACCTGAAGAATCTCTATAAAACTCACAATTACTGTACTTCATACTTCCAGTTTTTTTTTCTATTCGCCTATGTATTTTGGGCGAGTAAATACCATATTAATAAATAAGTATGTAAAATACCTAAAGTATTACGGTGGGTGCATAATAAATAATAATATCTATTTGATTTAAACTAAATAATATATTTTCTAATCAAATTATTAAAAAGAATTCACTAACAGAATAATCAGCCTTGGCGAGGAGCTAATCGTCTGAGAATTTAATTAGCTTAACAGAATCAGTATTAACCAGCAGTGACACTGATCTGTACTTAAGCCACCATTTTTTGTACATAATTATTGTGAATTTAACACCTCACAATTTTTACGACTTATTCATAGCCGGGAACCGAAAATCTAAATAAATCCGCTAAAAACTCCGAAAAAATAGTTTTATTTAAAAACTCAAATGTTAGCGTAAATCTATAAAAGTCTTACCTAGTTATTCATTTATGTATTTATGTTTATTTTCTCGACAGTGTGTGTGGATACACATTATATTAATTAGGTGGCGCCATTTTTCTTTGTTAATGCTGTAATTGGTTAAGTAATAACAGTTCAAAGAGGCTCGCTATGGTATTATGATAATTTACAAAAACAATTAAATTTTTACTTCTGTTAAGTACTTACTTCAAAGTCTCGTTTTGGTATTCAAAATTAGCCTCCCATATAAGATTATTATAAGACCGTGGGATGTGACAATTTGATGCATTTCATATAACCGTTTTCTATATGATTACCATTTAATTATCGTCAAATCATAATCATATACATAGTGAATTGAAAACGATGATAAAACGGCGATTTACAGCTCAGTGGGGGTAAATTTGCTGTAAGAATTTGAAAAACGTGTGATTCCCGCCAAGCTGCATTATGACTAACGGAGAAATGAGTTTGATTTTTTTATATTTTAATTTAGCAACATTTAAATATTATGGACATGAAAGATTATGTATAATATGTGGAATGGAACATTCTGAATGAAATATACTTATAGTCTGATTTTTAATTCCACGGAAATATGACAGCTATCATTCTTTGACAATTCAGATATCATAAACCTTTTCTGCTTTGTATTTTTTTAATATAAAATAACAAAAAATATGAAACAGAATTAGATCAAGTAAACTATATGTATTATGTATGTATGTATAGTAATATGACATTGTAAATTGTCTTTATTTTGTGCATTTATTGCACACTAACTCTAATGTACATTTTTTTATGATTAAATGAAAAAAGACAGAGTAAAACAAAATATAAGAAATGAAAATATTTACTAATCATTATTACTTATATGATAAATATCGTCATCATCATCCACTCGGTTTATAAAAGAATCACACACACTATCCATCAGATCATTAAGAGGGCACATTTTATCCTTTTCTTTTATAATATGGTTTATAAATTCTTGCCAAAAACAATAATAAAAAATTGTGAACGATCGTTGTGGACGTGCCTTTTTGGGACTTTCCAATTCTTTTTGCCAATTGCAAAGATTTTACAAAGGGGTTTTCCTAAAAAAAGGTTTGCAACCTATGTATTACTGGACAGGGATTCCTGTTATAGAAAAATAATTTCCTTAATAATTATTCTAACTTCGATAATAATTACTATTACCATTTTAAAGTTATCAATAATTTTTTAAGTCTTAGTTTTTCTAATTGGAACCTTAAATTCAAGAAAGGTTTATTTTTTTATTTTGCTAAAATGCTTTCCGTTTTTAGTGACAATGCTTCAAAGCTGACAACATTTCTGAAATGTCAGAATTATCAGACTTTATGACTAAATAAAAAGAATACAGAGAACCATAAATAAACATTAGGGCATTGACAATAAAGCAATAGACGAATCAGAACTGTCAAACTGACGTTTAACTTTGTAGAATCATCGCGTCCCCTCAATCGTAAGATTGCCGGACAAGTTTGAAATAAATAAAAATTTTATAATACATCCTTAAATATGGTGAGTAAATACCAGATAAATTAGTACTTCTTTCTTTTTCTTTAAGATATGATTTTTTAAGACACTAAATATACCTTAATTCAAAATATGCAGTGTCATTTACACTTACTATGAAACTACTTCTACAACAAATAATATGTCACAGTAATATTTATTATTGTATTTTTGAAATAGTATCAAATATATATATTATATAGTAATTATAAGTTCTAATTGAAGTAATTGAAACAATAAAGAAATTATGTAGTAATATTAATAATAACCTCAAACATAGTGTTATAGTTGATTATGTTTAATATATTTCAGTTCCGTAACCAATACGACAGCGATGTCACAGTATGGAGTCCTCAAGGACGTCTCCATCAGGTAGAATATGCTATGGAAGCTGTTAAATTAGGATCGGCCACTGTTGCTTTAAAAAGCAAGCAATTTGCAGTATTGATTGCGCTCAAGCGGGCTGTAAGTGAATTATCTGCATACCAGAAAAAGATTATACCAATTGATGAGCATATTGGCATTTCTATCTCGGGTTTGACTGCTGACGCTAGAATGTTAAGGTAACTGTATTTTTTAATTCATTATTTTTTTGTAATTCTCAACTATATATACTAAATTATTAATATTCTGTCTATATATTATGTGCCTGAGATTTATATGTTAAGATAGAGTTCACTAAAAGTACTTTGGAAATTATCAATATGTGAGAAATAAAATTGGATCAGGATTGTTTTCTTGCAATTAGTATGTTATTTATAAAGACAAAATAAGTAATATTCTGCTTGTTTTGTATTGTTGCTCTTTTAAAATACTTACCTTTAGAATAACTTTTGTAAAACTGTTTTTTCTAATTACAGCCGTTTTATGCGTACTGAGTGCTTGAACCATCGGTATGCTCATGATTCACCTATGCCCGTTGGACGTCTCATTGGACTAGTTGGTAATAAGATGCAAATCTGTACTCAAAGATATGATAAAAGACCACTTGGTGTTGGACTATTGGTGGCTGGTTATGATGTGAGTATACACTAATTTTAAAATGTTGAAAAAAAGTTATATACTTAATAGTTAATACTTTACATATATATATTTAAGAAAAAGTATCTTAACATATAAGTATAATTTCTTGTTGATATTAATTATGTACAAAACATTTAATTTTCAGGATCAAGGACCTCATATTTATCAAACATGTCCATCAGCCAACTTCTTTGATTGCCGGGCAATGGCAATTGGTGCTAGATCTCAATCTGCTAGAACTTATCTGGAGAAGCATCTTACTACTTTCCAAGATTGTGATCTCAATGATTTAGTTGCACATGGTCTCCGAGCCTTGAGGGATACATTGCCTAATGAAGTCGATCTTAACACCAAGGTAAGTTTTGTTTATATAGTATTAGCAACACCCTTGCTCCACTTGGGTTCATCCCTAGTAACTTTTTAACATTTAGTATAGATTTCTCAGATGAAATATATTCCCGCAGTAAAAAGTATCATATATGTCGATCTGGATAACCTTATCATCATACCAAACATTAAAATCTGTCCAGTGGTTTTCTCGTGATGCGGTCACAGACAGACAAAAATTCTAAAAATTATATATTCGGCCTCTGTATTGATAACAATTACTATTTTGATAAGATTTTCCAAAAAATATTTTTTGCACAGATTCGACTGAGAATTTTATTATATACTAGCATTGCTCGACCGGCGTTCAAATTACCAAAAACCAAATTCTTAGGTTTTATATATTAGTATTATTCTCTTACATTGCAGTTTTTGTATTTTGTTCTCAGAAATGAGATATTTTCCTAGGGTACAAAGTATCCTATATGTTGACCCGAATAACCAGCTATCACCATATCAAATTTCATCAAAATCTCTAGTGGTTTTTCTGTGATGCAGTAACAGATAGACAGACAGACAAAATATTATATTATTTAATTGATTATTATAGTTGTGCTATATTTACTTTGTTTTTAAATGCTGTTTTGAAACGAGGCTAGTCAAACTAAAAACCTATATTGACTACTGAGGAAACATTCTTAACTTCAAAGCTTGCAGTTGTATTGTATATGTATGCAACCTCTTTTTAACGTCCCATTGCTGGGATCGGGCCTCCCTTCGATACTTGGTGGATCAGGACATAGCCTCGATCCAATAGCCGGCCATAGCTAGATCCACCACACAGGCCAAGTGCGGGTTGCAGTTATATTGTAATATTATCTCTATCCATTATCTCCTAACGACATAATATAATAATATTTTTTTTTAATTCACAGAACGTCTCTATCGCCGTTGTTGGTCCAAAAACGCCACTACATGTATGTGAAGAAGCCGAACTAACCAGATATTTGGGTTTGGTCGAAGGTGAAGAGAGACGAGGTGGCACAGCTACAGGAGATGCTGGTCCGGCAGATGCGGGGGACGAAAGAGATGCCCCTCAGGTGAGATGAACCATTAGATGGCTATCATAGACTAATTCACTTTCATTTATTGCTAATAGACAATTTTGTTTTTTTTTTAAATAAATAATATAAAAAATAAAATAACTCTAACTTCACTTTAAAAATGTAATATTATGGTTTTCTTTACGGTGGCTCATTTTGAAATGGTGTAATTGGTTCGGAATTGTCAAAAATACAATGTATGTTTGTCTATTTTAAATTGGTCAAAAACTTAAAAATGTATTGGGGTGACATACCAAAGACATAAGACCATAAAACAGCACCACACCACAGTTTTTATCCTCTGTTTGTCAACCGTTTATTTTTTTGGTTAAGTAGCTATTGACAAGCTTTTTTTTCTCTTTTTAGTGTTATGAATTATAAATTTTTGGAAACATATAGATAGGTAAATTCTATTCTTTTACTAGCGGCTCCCCCTTGCTTCACTCGGGTTCATACCTAGATACCTAGGTTTTAACGGTTAATATGGAAAAGTTAGACTATATATTACGTTTGTATATTATACAGATAGACTATATAGACTATTTTCCCATGGGATTGAGATAATTTCCTGTGGTAAAAAGTAGCCTATGTCAATCTCCAGCCCTCCCAACTATATGCACACAAAAAATTACGCAAATCCGTCACTCTGTTTCGACGCGAAAGAAGGACAAACAAGCAAACACACTTTCATATTAATAATATTATTATATATAGATGTTTTCTTCGGTTCAATAATGTTTATAATCGAATTTCGACCAGTAGGCGAATACTAGTAACAGAAACACGTTGAACGTAAAAAATGTTCTCCTACAATTCTTACACCATTCTCTGATAATTTGGCAACCCACTGTAGCTTAGTTTGTTCTAAAAACATGAAAATTTATACAATTCTTTATATAACAGAAGTGAGAAAAATTAGACCTAAGAAAAAAATATTTTTGTCAAAATGTTTTGAAATCCCATCCCTAATAGTATATATATATATATAGTAAGTGTTAAATAAGTCAAGACTTTTGTTTATTGCTAGTCTATAGTTTGTGGTGGCCCTTATATTACTTTTTTAATTACACTACTACTCCATGTATACGGAATGAACATATTCAAAGAATATTACATTGAGTGTTATCTATATTTAGATAAGTTATTAATAGCCTTTATAGAAAATGACTTTTTAGTATGAAACTTAATAATAGATAATATAAATATGTGGAATGAGAATGAAAAATTTTAGGGATAACATATTTTAAATGTACAATATCACTTGTAGTTGTTCAAGTGTGAATTAGAAATTTTTATTACCTTTATTTTTAACTAAAGTCTATTTTTTCCAAAAAATCTTGAACAATATTTGCTTAGCATTTAACTCTAAATAAAAAAAAATCTGATTCGGTTGTACTTTTATTGTTTCTATTTCATACTTTTAGAGAAAAATTGCTATTTAAATAATATTTTTATTTAAAATATTATAAATAAAATTAGAGAAAACATAGTACTGTACTGCATAAAGTAATACAATCGGTAAAAAATACGTTTGTATACAATAAGTCGATTCAAGTCAATTTAACTCTAAATAAAAAAAAATCTGATTCGGTTGTACTTTTATTGTTTCTATTTCATACTTTTAGAGAAAAATTGCTATTTAAATAATATTTTTATTTAAAATATTATAAATAAAATTAGAGAAAACATAGTACTGTACTGCATAAAGTAATACAATCGGTAAAAAATACGTTTGTATACAATAAGTCGATTCAAGTCAATTAGTAGGTGTTGTAAGATGGAGCAATGTAACTGACGGAACGAAATCGCTAGATTCATCGCTATCTCTTGAAATGTCGGCTATTGTGGTTCTCTTGTTTTTATCTGGCCCTATAACTTTTTCCGGTAAATCGTCCAGACCGGAAACGAACGCCCACTTTTCATATAAAGCTGCTGCTACTACCTGAGTATCATTAGAATTTAGGGTGTCGATGTTTGTTGTGAGAAAAGCCTCCTCTACAGAAGATCGTACTATACGTTGAACGCTCGTTTCGTCAAATGTTTCGTTTCTCGTCTTCGCGCTTAGCGCGATTTGTAAAAATCTGGCCCATCTTGGACGATAGTAATAATGGAATAGCTCAGCCCATTGCTTACAAGCATAATCGGAGATCTCACCATTGGGCCCCCACAACGTTATTTGGTTACGAGCATTCAGTTCGTACAAATACCTCTCCTCGTTTGTCGATGCTCGTTGTTTGGCGTCGTTTAACCATTTTGTGATAGTAAAGTCGGAATTTGTAGCCAATATGTTTTCCATATCGCTCATCACATCTAAAAAGCGGTCAATTGAAAATTTAAACACCATCTCATTTGAGTATCGATCCTTTTGCAAACTTAAGTATAGTTGTTCAGCTCTGTATTGTAAAGCCTGTCTTGTTACATCGACTAGGTCATGAAAAAAGCCGGGGGAGTTGCAAACACCATTATCGACGAATGCAAGTGCTTTAAATGCTTCAAACAAATCATGGCCTCTGTACCAAGCCCAAGGTCGTATATTAAAACTTGGTCGCCGAGTTACTACGTATTTACCTCTCATTCGGTTAAGACCTTTGAAATTGTATACACTCTTCAGTAAATATCTCCACGCGCTTGTGGTGACATTGCATCCATATCGTCGTTCGGCGTAATCGCCCACCCACACTTCTAAATCCTCCACAGGCTTTTTGCGCCATGCCGATTCTAACATCAAATCGTAAACTACATAGTTCTGATTGATACCTTCTGGTGTGAGACCTATGCCAATCATAGTGGAGTTTTCAAGATATCTCGCTTCGTAAACATCTTTGTTGATAGTTTCCATGTTCCCGAACATTCCCAGTGTACCACCAAAATTGTGGAGCATACACCATATGAAAGGCTGACCGTAATACATTTTGTACAATTCATACTGTGGCCATTGTTCTGCTTGTAGATCAAGCAACAGCATCCGTCCACTAGGAACTGATGTGAGAAATGACTGCACTCTTTTAAGAGGCCACAACAGGGGATTGTGAACGAACATCCAATTTTGTAGAAGCCACACGGCGTTATTATCGAATTCTGTTAGAGTCGAATAGATTGATTTAGCGGTTTCTTGAACTAATGAAGTCGACCACGGCTCAATTTTAATTTCATTGAACGGGTCTGCTGTATAAATATGAGCGCTACCGGTCTCAGCCGTAATTTCCCTTAAAAACATTTTGCCTATTACCTTAAATTGTGGTTCCTTGGGGTCCATGAAATAATTACAACAATAGTCATCACTGAATTTGTTCCATTTTTGTACATTATATAATGTAATATTCGGGAAGATCTTTTCAAATGCTCTTGGCACGTGACCATTAAATGCAGGAAACACAGGCACCATTCCAAGCCGAAACATATAATCGACGACTGTGTCTTGAATGTCCTTCTGTGATTGGAGCCATGACTTCGGCAGAGGTCCTCCCCATCCATGGAGGTTACCCATTCGAAGCCAAGCGAGGAAAGCCGGTCCAGTGAAATGTTCGTCAATTTCATCTTGAGACATGCCTAATTGCTTATAAATCTTGGCCCAAACAGCCTCTTGGGCGAAGGGTGCCAGCGCCAAATTGATTCCATTTAAAGCCATCCATTCAACGTGTGGTGTCCAGTCTTCAGTCCACCAGACGAAACTATAAGACTCCGTGCAAACATTTTGATAATAACGAAATCTGTCGTTTGCGATAACAACTTCGTCGACTTCAGGTAGAGGATTTGGTATGGACACCTGTTGAACTTGCCATGCGATTTGGCTTTTACAATATTTTTTCAAATAATAATTGAATCCCCATACGGCCGCGACACCAGTGCTAGCTCGTATCTGAAGCTGTCCGTTAACAGTGCGCAACGCGAACACATCTTTATGATCGTTGAATAATAAAGGGTTGATATCGACTTTCACATTACTATAGTATTTGCTTATTATCGTAGAAGCGAGTGTCTGTTGCTGTTCAGGCGAAGTCTTCGTTTGTAACTTAACTGGATCCAAGTAGTCCAAATTTAAAGATACTACACACGATATTATATTTAAAAATATGATTCCACTGAGAAGATTCATCTTCAACGCGATCTTACGCCTGAGTGTCTTTAAGTGATAGGATGTTCTTTGTTGACTCACTCGACTAATGACCTCTGCTCTTTATAATCTATTTATCGGCAAGAATTGTCGTTACAGAATGTCTTATCATACGTACATATTGAGTTTGTATACAAACATGGTCATCTGGTGTAGTTCTCACAGTATATGGCCTATGATAACGGTCGCGGGTTCGAGTTATGCTCAAGGCATTTTTAAAATTATTTTCTAGAAGTATTTTCGATATTTAAAAATATGTGTGGTTTGTCCCTAGGTCATAGTATACTATGAAATATATACTATTATATATTTCATAGTATACTATGTATACTAGGTCATAGTATACATAGTATTCTATAGAATCTAGTCTAACAAGGAATGATAATAATAATAATGTTAGTTTTTAAAGGTAAGTTTCCTTTACTATCGATGTAAAAATATAGACATTAATTTATAAATATTATGTCGAAAAAAGGAAAATAATAATAAATTGACCCCGACGTGATTTGAACACGCAACCTTCTGATCTGGAGTCAGACGCGCTACCGTTGCGCCACGGAGTCTTTATACGAACTTCTGTAATAAACCAGTATTATCTATTAGTACACTTTTTAAGTTTACATTTTGAATATATATTTAATTTAATTAAATTATTAAGACAATTTTAAAGTATTTTTTTGTTCTTCACTTTACTTGAATGATATATGTATTTTTCTAGTACTTAAATAAATAGAGATACTCGTATAATGAAATGTAAAATCAAAATGCCATCAATTTATTAATCGGACCACTATTATAAATGCAAAAGTTTGTATATGTGTATATGTTTGTTACTCCTAAACGCCGAAACGCCTGGAAGGGTTTGGATGAAAAGCAAACTCCCATTAACAGTCACTATACATCCTAGTATCATTTCATATTATAGCAATTTTGCAATATTACCAAAAAATTAATTCAAAAACCATTAGTAAAAAACAATTCAAATGAAATAACATCAGTGGGCATCAAAACTAAAATAAATACGTTGTTTCAGGTGGCAATGGACACGGAGTAAGTACAGAACGTTTGCAAGAGAACGCAGATGTGCTTAAATGTATTAAGGATGAAGAAATTAGCACATTTTCGACACAAAACAACTGTGTATCTTTCAATATGGTATATTTCATTCTACCCTCCTTTTCTAGCTTTTTAAAAGGTATGCCTTGGCCAGTGTTTAGATTGATCTCCAAAGCTATGTAACTTATCATTGTCTTACTTCGTTATATAGTGCGTGATTTTTAATTGTTTGTTCAAATTTGTTTTTATGATTTTTCTATGAGGAAGCAGATGCATATCTATGTGACCCTAACTTCATAAAGATAAGCGTAACTTCATTTTTTTTGTCCCATGGGAATGAGTTTTTTATGGTAAAAATAGCCTATATAGGTTTTACTTACAATTGTTTCCATACGAAAAATAATATTAATCCGTCGCTTTGTCACGGCGTGGATGAATGACAAACAAACACAATATCACATATTTAATATTAATTGGATTTAACCAACTGTTCCGCCATTAATGTTATCAATCATTCACAGCACCATTTATGAGGTCTAAATATTGTGATCTTCCTTATTGGTAAATAAATCAAGATAGGTTTGGTTACAAAGTAACTTATAATATTAAATGAGTAATTCTTGTATGTATAAAATTATTTCGTGGATCTCTAAAACAGCTCTATCTATGGATTTGGATTAAATTTTGTATTTAGATAAAGTTTTGCCTTTTAAGTTTATTTTTATAGGTCTAAAAAACATAATTTTTGTATCTCTTTCCAAAATCTCCGAGCGAAGCTCGATCGCCCAATTGTTGAGTTTAATGAGTATTGAATTTGCTAATAACTTTTGTGTAGCGACATCTATAGGATTTATCAGCAGTTAATGTACTAAAGCTAGTATTACTGCTTTGTATTATTCATATTAATATTTCATTTAGGATTTTTTTTACGTACAAACTAACGAGTGAACCTTAACATTAGTATAAGTCTATATAGCGATGGGACAATCTATGCACTGGCCAAGGGAATAAAATGTATACCATAAACTGTTTAAAATGTATTTCTTTATTTTTTAATTAAACACATGCGTATTTTAAACGTTTTATTTTTTTTCTGTACATCTTAAATATAATTATATTATAAAATGAACATAATTTTTATCTTCTAAAAAACTCATAATTTTTACCCGGATATTGCTTAATTGATATGAATCGTTTAAAATCTTTTGCTAAATCGATTAGACATATAATATCGATTTTACAAGGTAAGAGATAATTTGTTATAATTTGTATTTTTGTTATTTTACATATCTTGGTTTATTATTTTATTGTTAAGTACAATTTTAGTTAGTGTTTGATGCTATAAATAACATTAATTAATTAAGGTTAATAGGGAATATGAGCGTGATTTAAATATAGGTGAATTTTTTTATCTTTATAACTTTTGAATTAAGGCTATATTAATATTTTTTAATGTAATTTCTTTTTGATTAAGAAAATATTAAAAAAAGTGCAAATGGGAATGGGAAATTTTAAGTAGTTGAGAGGCAACGCCATTGGTCAGACCGAATGTGACGTCAAAGTCTATCTAAATAGAGGGTATGTTATTCTTATTATAGACTATGACGTCACGCCAAGCGCGCCAAAATGCGGGGCGTTTAAAATATCGGTATGTTTTTTTTTAATATTTAAATCAAATTTTAGTTTTTGGAGCTGGACATTTTTTTACAATTATGTTATGCTGGTATAAAAAAAATCGTTCATATTCCCTATTCTGAAGAGTTAGGTTAGTAACAGATTTACTGAGAGTTCTATAAATATATGTCATATTTTTATATATGTATCTTTATTTATATAAATATATATGTAAAGATTTTCTAATTTAAAATAAGATAATAATTTTTACTTGTAGGAATTTAAAGATCCAGTTTCCGGTTCTATAAGTTCATTATTAATAACTAAAACATATAAGACATGAGACTCGCAATTTACTAGTGCCGAGATAATAAGTGATAGTTAATTCAAAGTAAAGCTAAAAAAAAGAAGAAGTATTCGTGTATTCTCTATCTTTAGTCTTTAGACGATATGTTAAATTGATTTTAGTATAAATATTTTTTCAATACATACAAAATTAAAAAAAAATATTTGTACTAAAAGCAAGTACGAATACTACTCGTATAACCTTCATTACGTTAAATTAATTTGGAAGTGATAAAATAAATTAGAAAATCCAAGAATTTACTTATTTTAATTCTCCACATTTGTATATAGAACATTGATTTTTTCTACATTGCAGCTTCCCATACATAAATAGCGGTTTTCATAATCGATATTTATTTAAAGAATATAATAATGAATCTGTATTGAAAAAGAATATTTCATCCATCAATTGACTAGGTTAAATAATTTACAAATTACATATTGATTGGTGGTTTTGTTCTACATTTTTGGTATCGGAATCAATATATACTTCTCTTACAACTACGATCTACATATATCAGTAGCACCATTTGTATTTAACAGTCTAACTTATATCTATCAAATTATGCTTAAGTTTTAGAACCTTTATTTTGGAAAGACATCACTCAGTTGTTTTTTTTGCTGGGATTTATGGTAATTTCAAAGCACATCTTTGGGAAAATTTTAAATATGAATCACGTGTCATACAAGGGTATCTAACACGTAACTGTTCCCACTGTACGCAAAAACTGGTTGATTTACGTTGTTTTGCTCTAAAACTGGCATGTAACTCTCTTGCAGAATAATTGGTTGTCGATTAGATGCTTCATTCAATTGTCTCTCTAATATAGTGTTTTGTAATTCTTCTTTCTCTAACTCTAGCGATAGTTCGTCTAATAATTTCATTCTGAATTCTATTTCTTTATCTGCTCTTTCTAACTCTAACGTGTTCTCTTGCATCTCCTTTGTAGTACTGTCCAGATCTTCTTCTATTTTGTTTATCAACAGGGTAACTTGTGATACGTTTTCGCAGCTGTTAGCTTCTTTTTCATCCATATACCTTTTCACCTTAGCCGTTAATCGTACTACGAGCTCTTCCTCACGATGTAATCTCTTATTGATTATTGCGAGTTTCTCTAACAATTCAATTTCCTCGCGTATTCTAGAAAGTTCGTCGGCTGAGGCATCAGAGTCTGTGTCGTTTGCTGTCTGTATCAGTCTTTCAGAATTAACTTGACATATATCAGTAAGTTCTTTAGTGAAGTAATGTTCTCTCATTAGATGTCTTTCTCGCCTTGATTTGTGTTTCGTGTGTCTTCTTGGAGGTGTTCCACTTCCGACTCCTACTCCACTGTCGCTGTTGCCGGCTTGACTGTCATTCAATTCGCTAGATCTTCCTAAGTCTCTAAGATATGATTCGAGGAGATAATTGGTTCCATGTTTTTCCATGCGGTTCTTGTGTGTTTGGTCTTCTAAATGATCGATGAGTTTTTCTTGCTCCCTGGAAATAAATACGATTTTAATATATAACTGATCTATTGCATTTTATTTGAGTAAAATCAGAACTATAATAAACATCAGACCATTTTGGTCTAATTTTCTTATTTAGAAATAAATTAACCTATTATTTAGATTATAAATTTCCTTAAATATATTGATAGCGTAAAGGAATCGATTTTAATAAGTATATCGATATTGTTCAAATATTTACCTTAATTTGTCGAGCTGTTGATGAATAGTTTTGCTTTGATGCTGTATAACGGATACAAGTCTGGCTGCGGGGTCTTCACTCCTAGACCTGGGTGGTGGAGTGACAGTTCTAATTCCCTTCCTCCTTCGCCTCGACCTCGCTTTACTGCCGCCGTCGCTGTCTCTACCCGAGTCATCTTCGCCACCACTTGACAACCGTCGTAGAGAAAGGCGTACCTGCATGAAATATTTCTATACATTAGTATAATGAATTTTTTAAGACAGCAATTTTTTTAAATTAGAATCTTAAAGATTTTATTTAATAAGCACAATTAAAAAAATAACTCTTTAATTTAATTAATAATAACATTTCTTAAGTAGGTACTTTAGGGAAACTTTACTTCGCACCAGTTTTTTCTAAATTTAATTCGTTTATTAAGACCACTAGGTCTGGCTAAATATATTTGAAATTTGCTAATATTATTATTTAAGTAAGTCAATAATAAAAAAAAATTGAGGACATCGCAGGTCACAAGATTTTCATGGAACGAAAATACAGACGGAAGAGGTCGCAGGCATGGACTAATAAGGGGAATAAGACTCGCCTCATGTCTAGCATCTCCCCAAGCAGCGAGTACATGTAGCACAGGTACATCTGGGGGTAAGGGTCTCTCCACACCACGCCAACGTTCAGCCAGCACCCATTCACCGTTGTCGCTCGAGCCACCTGCTGTATTAATATGGTTTTATAAGAAAATTGCTGATCTATGCAAAGCTTCATTAATTACAATATTAACTTTACTAAAGTTTGTTGTTAATTATATTTAGTTAATGTTTACTATATTTGTACCTGATAATTTATGAATGGGTAATTAAAAATATAAGGAAATAGGAGTTTATATGTAAAATTTTTGTTTCATATGTTTATTTATGAAAAAAAATTAATAGGTACTCCGTGTGAAAGCTTTGAAGTCAATAAACTATTCGTTTTAAGAATATGTTTACTAGAATATCTAAAAGAAAGTTCGAGGTAAGTTACCTATTACATGTACGCACGTAAGAAGTTATACTTTGGCGTAACAGAACAAAAATAGCTAAAGATTTCATCCTGTATATATCACAACTCTCTGTTTGTAAAAGGAATGACAAATTAATAAAAATAATAATCAAATAAGGCTTATTAGGCATATTACAATCATATATTAATTAAAGAATATCATTTAAGGCAAGAATATAATATTATATATCACTAGCATTCCCCGCGGAACCGCCCGCGTTCAGATGACCAGAAACCAAATTATTAGGTTTTACATATTAGTATACTTTTACATTTCAGTTTTTGTATTTTTTCTCAGAAGTGAGACATTTTTCTGCAGTAAAAAGTATCCTATAGGTTGACCGGGATAACCAGCCATCACCATACCAAATTTCATCAAAATCCCTCCAGTGGTTTTTCAGACAACAGACAACAACAGACAGACAGACATAATTCTAAAAACAATAGATTCGGCCTCTGTATCGATAATAATGTATTTCAATAAGATTTTCCAAAAAATATTTAATGTACAGATTCGGCCTAGTTACAATTTTATTATATGTATAGATTTATCAGACAATAACAACGGTTACCAAGGCAACAAAGACTTATCAGCTAACTTCATGTTGCTTTTTGGCTGTCGGTGTGCACGCGCATCGTAAAAATTTTACTCTCATATTTTTTTCCAAACGTCCCAAAAAAAGTATAATTTAAAAAAATGGTTATGGTGTGACAAGGTGACACTAATGACTCGATACTTGAATATTAATTACAATCGGACGGAAATAAAAAAAAATAAGATTAATATAAATGATGCTAGCTTATATAATTGCAGATAGGTACTGGATTCGAGTCGTGGGTCGGGCCAAAGGAGTATTTGGGAATTCTTTGAAATTCTGTTAGGTGACGTTACACGGCAGTGCTTCAGAGAACGAATCAAGCCTCATCAATCATAACGCCGGTTATAAGCCTGATTTGGATCACGTCATAGTGCCGTCGCTTAAAGGAATTTAAATTATAGGCTCAAATCGTTAGTTTTAGTGATAAACTATAATACTCTACCCTCCGGCGCATCTTGCAATGCTCGAACTATGTCAGCACAAGTGGTATGCGAGCGAACTCCTCTAACCCATAGCTTTTGACCTCGCGCTAACACGCCCACCTCTTCATCGCTGTAGTCTGATGATGAAGCTTCCATATCACCTAGAACAAGAAAAATATCGTTTCATACAAATGATTTTAAATCAGTATCTATTAATAGAGACGATTCAGTGATTTTATGTTTCTTACCCAAAATACCGTTGACTTTGGCTTCATTGAAAAGCATTTGTACAAAAAGTACATCATTATCATATTCGTTTTAGACAAGGTGAAAAATTATCGCGCAGAAATCGAACCCGCCATTTCTGATGCACAAAGCAATGTCATTTTCAAGTTGTTCTACTGGAAACTTTTAAATAGATAATAGGTACCTACTGATCGGTCTTATAATATCATCTAAAATTTCTATCATTTCATTTCATTTTTCGTTTATATTTATCGTATTATTTCATTAGATATTATAAATTATACAAAATATTTAATAAAGAAAGATATCCTATATTCTCGTATGTAGAGGTGCGGTATCTACGTAATTTTTGATTTCATTCTCACAATCATTCGCAAAATTTTCACAGACTTAGCTAGATACCTACTATAACAAGCTATAAAAATGCTAAATTTTATTTATAATATTTTCTAATATTCATTCTTCTTCAATTTCTTCTAATCTTAATATTCATTCTGATTCATAGAAGAAATAATGAGAAGAAACTTACAAAAGAAAAAATCAAAACAAACCAATAACTTCACTTAGCACATACGAGTACGTACATACTATTTGTAAAATGTTATTTAAAACCAAACAAAATTCTCATTATAAAAAAACCTTTCCTTTAAAATATACTTAATTCCGTTTTCAAAAATATTTTTTCATAATCTGAAATATTTTACTGAGATTTCAGTAATGAAATAAAGAATACCACAATATCGTACGATATTTAGGTAACAACGTGACATGGGGTTTTTCCCCCACAATCAGTGTCATAGCAACGGTTGCAAACAAACCCCATTGCATAATAAGCCGCGCCTGGTACGAGGGTGGCTATTACCCACCCCTGCAGGAAGTTGCAAAATTCAATGCAAGAAAATAAGTGGATGATAAGCAGAACTTACTTCGCAGTATTAGAAATAACTTAAAATAGCTAACGATCAATCTACATTGCTTACTTATAATAGGCGTAGAGGTAGTGGGATCTATTCCCTAAAAGGGTAAATTTTTCATGTGACATCACTATTATGATTATTTGGGTCAAATGGAATGGTTAATTTTTTTATTTGGGTCGTGAATAGATGACGTTGCCTATTGTACCGGAGATAACGAGTTCGATATTTTTAAGATACCTAAATTAATGAGTAATGAAGCAGTAGGAGTCTCTTAGGCTTTTTTTGTCCAATAAAAAAAATTTCGCAGAATATTTATTTATTTGATGTAAAATGTAAAGACGCGTGTGAACGGAACGCGGGCAAAATAAGTGTTATAACAAAATAAAACTTTAGTGCCAAAACGGCACTTTAATTACTAAATTCATTTTTATTAACTCATAAAACTATCACAATATATTGCTTTAAAGTAAAAATTACCGCGAAAGTGATAACTGAGCTATAAAATAAAACTAATTTCACAATATGGCGGCGCTGTAACTTTTTATAACGGTCACAGATAAGCAAGGAAAATAATAAATCTAGCCGTACGTTAACACAGGCGCCGATGTTATTCGAAAGATTCGTGACTAAATATCATTAAACCACCCGTTCCATACCACCCCTTGACATTTAGGGCACGCCCAAACATTTTAATGTAATTTGAACGAACTTTTGTTATAGTGCTAGAATGTGGGTATGCACTAGTAAAGCTCCTTCACTTTCCATGTTTAATCTATAGATTATTATTTGCTTATATTCTCAACTTATGAGTGTGAATTTTGTACATTTTATATAACAATTTTTATACAATAAGACATAGTATATATGTATATGTACACATTCTATAATAACATCATCAGAAAACAACAGTACAAAGTGTGAAGAAGGTACCTACTTACATGCTAAAATAATTTATGTACAAAGTTGTCAAACGCATAATATTTTACATAACTGTACATAACATTGTTACGTTGAAAAGCTATCAATTTAGAACTGTGTTTATAGAAAATACAACTTTACAGCAGAAACATGTAGTTTTCTAATTTGCTGCGTTTATGAGCGAAATGTTTCAACAAAAACCTAATAGCTACATCCTGCACGAATGCTTCGAAATATTACTTACTATGTTACGCTTCTGGTTTTACTTGCGAAATATGTACAAAAATTATAAGTAAATGAGTAATGTGTTTCGTATGTACACTTACTTTATTATATGTAGGATGATTCTGGACTTAGACAAGATATCAACATATTATGATGTTTAAAATACACACAATGTTTGAAGATTTTATTCATAACTATGGTTTGTGGTGTGAGTGTCACCACTCACGTGTCTTCTCCATTCTACGTGACATTGGCGAAGAAAACTGTGACCAACTGGCACGCTATGTAGTCATTAACAAGAAAATTGAATGTATTCAATATGTCACATTTAGCGGATTTTTTATCACTTTTGTCATTTAATGTACATTATAGTTTCATATTGTACTGATTTTGTAATGACTTTTGTCCTAAAATAGTTAATACTTTCTTAGATTTACGCGAATGTTTGACATTATTAAATAAAACTATCTTTTCGGATTATTTCGCGGATTTATTTTGATTTTTGGTTCCCGACGTTTCGAATGCTTTACAGCATCCATGGTCACGGGAGAGACTGAGGTGTTACATGTCTTAAAGATATAGTTGTTACAGACAGCCTACCCACAATCAACAAAATGAAAATTGCACCAATTACATTACAATATTTTAACTTTAAACATTTTTATAATTTTAATTATAATTGAATATGGAAAATTATTTATTTAATTTTTGCTATTATTTTTATAATTATTACAATTTTAAAAATATTAATTAGTAATCTATATTTAGTGTTGCCATTATTATATTTATAACCATAAAGAAAAATATAAAATATAGTATTAATTATTTAAGCTATATAATTGTTCAATGTGTAATTTAAAAAGTTAAAGTTAATTAAGGATTATAATTTTAATTTAGTTTGCTATTATTTAAAAACAACTTACTAAGCAACACTATTAATATATACTTTTACAAATGAAAAATATCAATCTGATAAGCTGTCATTTTGATCTACGGCGATTTTGTCGAATCACTGTCCGTAACAACTTAAAACTTGCCTGGTTTACGATCTTAGCGCTTCCTCGTATGTTCTTTTTGGAAGATATTTTCACACACGTAGGAATGAGACGATGATCACGACATCTCTTCAAGAAAGTTAACGATGTTAATAATCTTGCGCGCTTTGTCTTCAGATCTTCTAACCGGCGTATCTTGTTTGCGGTTTCCAGTGTTTGTGTTTCCAGTGTAAGATTGATATTTTTCATTTGTAAAAGTATATATTAATAGTGTTGCTTAGTAAGTTGTTTTTAAATAATAGCAAACTAAATTAAAATTATAATCCTTAATTAACTTTAACTTTTTAAATTACACATTGAACAATTATATAGCTTAAATAATTAATACTATATTTTATATTTTTCTTTATGGTTATAAATATAATAATGGCAACACTAAATATAGATTACTAATTAATATTTTTAAAATTGTAATAATTATAAAAATAATAGCAAAAATTAAATAAATAATTTTCCATATTCAATTATAATTAAAATTATAAAAATGTTTAAAGTTAAAATATTGTAATGTAATTGGTGCAATTTTCATTTTGTTGATTGTGGGTAGGCTGTCTGTAACAACTATATCTTTAAGACATGTAACACCTCAGTCTCTCCCGTGACCATGGATGCTGTAAAGCATTCGAAACGTCGGGAACCAAAAATCAAAATAAATCCGCGAAATAATCCGAAAAGATAGTTTTATTTAATAATCCTAAAATAGTTATTAAACTTGTCTTACGGTGAAGGAAACCTAGCAAGTTTTTAAAAGACATGTAAAGTCAGTCAACCCGTACTTGGCCAGCGTGGTGGACTATGGCCCGATCCCTATCGTGTTGAAGGGAGGCCCGTGCCCAGCATTGAGACGTTAAAAAGGGCTGATTACATAAGTATGTAATAGAACAAATAATAATTTTCTTTCTTTAAAGTAACTACTTGAAAGTATTTAGGCTATGATTTGTGACGATCTAGTTCTGCAATTTTCTACAACAAGATATATAGACACGATAAGAGACAAGATATTAGATATATAGACACTTTAGAACTAAATCCCACTGCATTAACTTAGAGATTAATTATAAATGTACAGACAGATAACCTCGAGGCATCATTTTATATAAAACGTTTAATATTTAACAGATAGGTAAATCAACTCTTTACTTTGATTACTGTAGGTATGACTAGACAGTGCTTGCGAAGCCAGAGATCTCGGATTTGATTTCCAGGCGTGGTAAATGATTGTTTAATAGTATCCAGACGCAGGTCAATAGATCAATATAGAGTTTTTGGTGCTGGAATCATGAAAGAATATATCACTATTATTATTTTGTATTTATATACATATAAATAAAAATTAATGTTCGTATGTTTGCGTTCCTAAGCCATAGATTCAATTGTGATGAAACTGGTGGGTTATTCTGTATACGCCTGAGAAGGTTCCGGGCGCGAACAATTTTTTTTTCTTTGGATGTTTGTCTTTTATGCGTTCGTAAACCATACAAGATTAAGGATGCACGAAGCGAAGCGATCTTCGCTTCGCTTGGTGCATCCTTACGTTGCTAGTAGTATTATAAATTAGAGTTAAGCTCGTGTTTGCTTGAGACAATTTCAGAAAATACTATACGGATTTTCCTTAGGTCTATTATAATAATTAGGTCTATTAAAATAATCAACCCTTATAATATTTGCGAATTGAGTTGGTAAAAACAGTTATCTAGGTCGTTGGCGCACCCGAGGAGAGTGAAGTAAGCCACAAGTAGGTAATAAAATGAAGTCACATAATCACTTCATATATTCAATATAATATTATGAAGTATAACATTTTTATTACCATTTAAATATGATTCTTCTCATGTTTATAGCCCGTCATTGCAGTCATTTATGTCATCAATGTGAATAACTTAATCTAGTTATACGGTACAAGTACGTAGTAGTAGCATTATGA